CAACTCTTGGGAATAGTCCGTTAGCTCATACTTACCCTGACGGGTAGACAAGAAGGGTGAGCGCACGCGATAAGCCTGGTTAGACGGCGAGAAAACACGCAAAAGGTCAAACTTGAGCGAATTACATTTGGGAAACGCCAAGTCGACCGACGTGCCACATGTCAGAGCCCACTCTCTAGCTCTTCCATCGAGCTTGTAGATAGCCAGCGAGACCCGCTAGTACTCCAGTGAGATAAGGCCAGAGCTCATGGCCATCTCAATCTCACGGATCCAGAGGGTCAAGTTTTCCCCTTCCTTCCCGGAGTAATGTTTGAAGTCCACCCGAAGGGGACGAGGTTTAATCTCTTCTGGTGGCATCGCCATGTAGCGTGTTGGCATAGCCGACGCTACTTGGTTTTGAACCTGCCCTAAAAGGTCCGTTTCATACTGGATGGAGGTCTCGACTCGTGCATTGAGCACATAGGGACCTTGTGCAGCTAGCAATTCCACATGCTCTGGGCCTACGGACGCGGCCAGCTTATCAAGCGCGACTTTTTGGGCCTCAGAGAGAAGTGTGGATTGCTCCATCCTCACAAAGGAACAGTCGTTGCCGATTCAGGCATAGATTGAGCAACAAGTGCTACCAAGTGTAGCGAATCTACACATCTTTTTAAGTAAGAGGAAGACTTAACGCTCAATGAGCAACTTTGGTTATACGAACCCGACTCGAAGAGTCAACAGCTTCGAGAGCTAAGGTTTGGTTCAAAGAACCCGACTCAAAGAGTCAACAAGCTCAGAGAACTTACGTTCCCTGTTCCAGGGGGACCAAATGATTCCAAGAATCAAACGCACTGAGTGCACAAGGAGTAGCTGCCTCAACAAGGCGTTGCTACCTCCTTATCGATCGCAAGACGCATCAGAGAGGCACGTGTCTTATGTTGATTAAAAAGGGGAACTGAATTTTATTTCTTCTTTTAACCTAAAAGAACACCTTAGAACAAAGTAATTATCCTACTCGCTAATGTCCTAATTAAACCTATTAAAAGTTCTCGTAATCAATGGTTGACAGACATCAGTCTTCAACAATTGATACTGTGTTCTAATATTACTTTAAAAAGGATCCCATACCTTGTGTGCACCACACCTATTGTCGACTACCAATCGACGTGTAATACCGTTAAAGACACGATCTGATTCACCCCAGGCATGTTGCACCCCACTCGCCGTCTTACGTTTTCTTCCGCAAGACATGGACGCCTGAAGAAGTTCTGTAAACAACAAACACCAACAAGATCAAAGCCCGACAAAGCGCTTACGACGCACTATATACACGTGACACGTCGGTGGATTGATGGGTCTTATCTCAAGAATATTTCTAGCGATTCGATGGGATCGAGCTGGTCGGATAGTACGTACAACCACGATCTTCGTACTCCACACGCACGAAGTATCGGCGCATGCTCGATGACCTGATACAATGAAGGGTCATCTGAGTCTCCTCAGCAAGCGCTGGTGTGAATGAAGTTGCAAGATGTTGTATAATGGGAATGTGCCGTCATCGACGCTGAAACCGAGACAGCGTACGAGTTACGTTGTGGCGTTGCAGCACTAGTCGACAAGAAGTATTTTGATCTGCCCGTGATAGTTGACATAACCACGGCTTCGATGACGATATACGTCGCATGGAGAGTAAGCTAGTGTCGGGAAATTGACAGCTGTATTGGGTGTAAGCGTACGGTGTTTGTAGCTGGGAGGTCTCAGTGTATGAGGGAAAAATCTCACTAGCGCATCCTGGATTTTTGAACGAGTGAATGTGGGTAATCGATGAGGCGAAAGCCAGATATGAACTCGGAATGGGCAAACTGTGAAGGATCTTTGTTATCTTAACGGGTAATGGCCATTTTGCCAATATGTCTGTATTATTGCAGGTTAAACCAGCCCCTATACAACAGCAAAATAATTCTAGTACGGGGAACGCGAGGGTGGTGGACTGGAGAGTCTGAGATGACTAATCTAGTTGTCTGACAGATGATCCCGACATCCAAAATTCTATGCGAGGCAAACAGAAGTGGCCAGGCAACATTTGAAAAGTCTCTATTATTTCTGGGCCGAGACGTTGAGGTAGGACACGGAGCAATTTTTGACGGACCACATTTGGGAGAGGGATGCTCATATTATTGATCGTCTGAGATCGTGACCGTACTCGTTGAATAGTAGCTAAACATCCAAGTCAATTAGCGCGTACGCGAACAGTCTAATGATTTTGTGCGTACTTCACGCAAGAGGTTTCGATAGAAGGATACAATGTATTGACGAACAACGACGTGGTAGTAGAAATTTTTTTAAGTGAGTGCAGTGGTGGCAAAGTTGTTCCTTCAATACTGGTGATGTATTGGAAAAAGCGATGGATGCACGCACAAACCCAGACTTGCTGACGTCTGGACGGTAATAAGATCAAATGAGTTATTACTGTTTTTATTGTATTGTAATTTGTAGATCGGTTGAGCGTAAGGCGTCTATATCGACATAGCAAAAGACAAGTGCATCGTCTTATTATTAGTGAACATTTTGGGGATGCCTCCTTGATATCGTACGTGGATAGTAAGTGCCAGCAAGTAAAAGTTGCGGGGTCGCTAGAATCGATCTCAGGCGGGTTCGGTAGTTCGATATGAATAGAAGCAGGCCGCGATGTTGACTTTATCGACCCCACTTTTAGGATCGCGAGATCGCTGCAAGCGGTCTCATACATCAAATGGTTCGCGATTTTAATATCGGAACGGCGATATTTGCAACCATATTTTAGTTAAGCTAGTTGATAGATCACGAAGCGGATCAAGCGTTGCGGTTGTTTAATGTATCGATATAGGTTCCCTACTACTGTATATACTACCGATATTTACATCGTTTGGGCCGGACCGGTTTTGGTGACTAAGAATCTGTTTGTCATACAGACATCGAGAAACTCCCGGTGCACCTTGACTAGAGATATCAGGGCCTCATATTATCAGTCCAATTTATATCAACACAAATTGCGTAGAGCTGATATACAAAGTTGACAGACGGCCCAAGTGGTCAAAAGATCGTCCCGAGTATCGCAAGACCAGATCAAGTAGTACTTAGCGTCGAAAAGACGAGCCACATATTAGCAAGGCGGATCACATACAAGGCATGGCCTCTCACGCGATATCCGAACGTTCGGGCTACCTTACGGGAAGATTGCTGATTACAAGGACCTTTGTGTATTGACAAGCATGCTGCGTTCAGAATCCAACTTTCACCTTGAGCAAGATAAGACGCATCGTAGGACATTTACAAACATCTCAAGCAATCTCGAACGACAAGTGCAAAAGTTGAGCGCAATAGTCAAGGATGCGAGACTGGGTAAAAATACTCCGTTCCCGCTGATGTGTCCTGACTGCGCGTAAGGTGGTGATCGACATCACCAATTATGTAGTTAGGGCTTATCAGCACATCCCGTGTGGGGAGAGTAACGCCTAAGATTTACCGCATCTCGATGCATATTCATCAACTCGATCATTGAGCGTGAAGATCTCTACTGCTACTCGCTGAGGTTCCTCTCGGATCAGAACGGGAGCCATCTATATGTCGACCTCTCGGATCCAGACGGAGCAACTGTCCTTTTCTTGACGTCGAAGTGATGGCGCCCACAACGAGAGGTCAGATCCGAGAACTATCGTCAGGTCCAAGAAAAGAAAAGCTCTTGATTAAGTTGCAAACAAAACTCATAAGGATAAAAATTCGTGAAATCAGGAATTGCAGCAATTGATCAAAGCAAAGCTGGAATAGAAGTCCAAATTTGCCATCGTGTCCGATCGTTGCAAGAACTACCACATCGTCGGATAGCGTTTGGGCAGCGCAAACAAACGATGAAACCTTATTGCCATACATACATACATACATACATACATACATACATACATACATACATACATACATACATACATACATACATACATACATACATACATACATATATACATACATACATACATACATACGTACATACATACACGTGCACACGGCATTGTATTGTGTAACATAGAGTCGTGATGCAAACTATCTGGGGATTGCAGCTAATTTGGTGCAAGGAAACGCTGCTACACCGAATGTAAGCTGACAACGTGTTGGATGCCTTACATCGAGCCCCTCGTACCGCAACGCGTGTCGAAGCCATGTTCAGGCACTGTAAGACGTTTGCGCTGGTAATGTGAAATGGCCTTTCGAGGTGAAGGTCAACAAGCGTGGCCAGACCGTGCTACCTTCCACGGCACAGATTGCTGCACCAAAGTCGGGTGTCACCCTTTTTCAGACTCACGGCAACGCGTTGCTGTACTTGTCTGCGCAGACACCGAGCAGCTTCCTGCCAATCTGATCTTTCTACAGTGCGTTTGCTCTTCGTTTATCTTTCAGGTTACAATAACTTCCTACAGCGGGCGCGAAAGATGCAGTCGAGATTGCAAGTCGAAGAAGAGCAAACGTTGCAACGCAGCGTTTGTCCAAGGACGTAAGATGTCGTACTCTGATGATACCATGCGTCAAACCGAGTGAGTCTATGCGAACAAGCCGTCAGGTTGGGTAGCCAGTGGTGCACCGCCGTTGGTATAGACTCTGGCGTGCATCCAGATCGACAACATCAGGTCCTTCATGCAAAGAGCTCTCGCAGATAGACAGCGTCCGGCCCTAGCGCACCACGTACCTCTTGGTCCCTTTCGCGACAAGCGACTGGCCAGTCGTTGCGAGAAGTGGAAGCGAGTCTCAACACGGCTGTGTCGCTGAGGTTTGTGTCGTCCCTGTGGTTGCCACTGCCCGAACGGCCAGAATGGCACAGAGCGCCAACAAGTCGACTCCGACCGTTGCGGGCACAAGCGCAATCGTACCAAAGCGCCACTTCTCCACGAGCCCTACAAACGTGAGTAGCTCTCGTTGAAGCGACTGCTATATTATTACGACGCGCTGAGCTCAGACCGTCAGGGCCGAGCTGGTCGCCTTCATACGTCGCTCTACTCGGCCGCGACGCCCTTTTGGCACACGTAAATGTAGTGCACGGCATTGGCATCCGCCTCCGAGACCTGCACGGCACTCACGGTGGGTTTCGGCACTGTGTGGACTGTCACCTTCCACGACAGCTCCTTGTTCTCCAAGTAGCTCAAGCGGTTCGTCGGGACGCCGTACGACACGACAAAGTAGACGCCATTGGGCTTCAGCACGCGGTAGACCTCGTGACACATTTTTGACACGTTGGCGGTCGAGCCTTCGCCGCACAAGATCGAGTCCATCGTGCCCTTGTCCACGACAGCGTCAAATGCCTCGTTGCTGCACTCGAGCGCGCACATGTTCATCGTCTGCCACTGCAGCTGCTCCGCCTGCTCCTTGTACTTGGCGGCCATCTGCTGCACGACCACGTCCGACACGTCGACGTTCACGAGCTTCTGGTAGCCGTCGGCCACCATCTCCTCCGACAGCCGCGAGTTGCCAGCGCCGGCCATGAGGACAGCAGCCGTCTTGGGGACGTACTGCGTCAGCAGCTCCTTCAGTCCGCCGTAGCGCTGGTACCAGTCAAACTGCTCGGCATCTCTGTAAAAAGAGTCGAAAAGAGTCGAAAGAGTCAAAAAGAGTCAAAAAGACAGACATGACCAATGTGTCAAAAATCAACGAGATGCACACCCCAGCGCGGGCAGTGCGATTGATTGGTCAAATAGAATCGGCCACCGCAACGTCACGAAGGCACGCGCATGGGGCGCGATTGGAACGTCGAGCGACGTGGGTGGCAGGAGACGTACCTCGTGTAGCGCTCGTCCCAGTAGGTGGCCTTGCCGTACTGCGCCATGGATGAAGACAGAGAGAAAGAGAAAGAGTTGCGGCGGCTGCTGCGGCTGTTGTTGTTGTTGTTGTTGTCGTTGTGGTTGTTGTGGTGGGAGTTGGGTACGGAAATTGACGAACGGGTCAAAACGGGAAAGTCGCGCACTTAACGGGATTCCCGTGCTTTCTCTCGAGTCGGGAGGCGCAGTCGGTTGCACGAGCGTTGCGGATAAAAGTCGTGGCTTTGGGACGAAAACGTGGAAACTGAACAAGCGGTTGGGGCAACATGACGGGTCTTCTTTTTTCTTGCCATAAAACTCGCCGTCATCTCGTGTTTGTTTTATATTTGTTCGCTGCTCTCTCTCTCCCCCCCTCTCTCTCTCTCTCTCTCTCTCTCTCTCTCTCTTCGGTCAGAATCTGCAGTTGGGAGCACACAGCAAAAGGGTCACCCACCGCTTCGACACAACACACTTTTGCTTTTTTGATAAAGTGGACTGCAACATGCCGTCTGCTAATGGGGACAACGTGGATAGCTCTGTCTACGTCGACACGTGATCGAGCGGCCACGACCAACAACAAACCTGTGTTGTAGCAACGACCGACACGTCAGCAGAATGGAAGAGCGACGATCGGATCGATTGAGCCACGTGCTTCGATCTGCATCGACTCTTCGTTTCAGGTGCTCTTGGATCGCCCACGTCGCCGACGTCAGCCATCAGCCCCATCTTCGATCTGATGACGTAGACCAGTAATTTATCAATGCAAAGCGAACCGGCCGTCAGTCGTTCAATAGCTAGTGGGGAGACTGCCGGTCTAGGTGCTGCGAGCACAGGTCTAGGCGACAAGCAACGGTTTGCCTTCACTTCGAATCGGGGACAGATGGTCGGTGGAATCGGTTTTTCTTCCGTAACTCGCATCCATTCATCTTTCCATTCAGTCGAGTGCTGCAACGACACCAATGGGAGCTGGGACACTGATGACGAGAGTGCCACACTTTAGCCCGTGACCAGCTGTGACGCAAAAGCGGTCAACACAAGCGGTCCGTTTGACTGGCACCAGTACATGTGCTGAAGAATGGAAGCCACGTCGGGTATAGATGTAAACAGGTCAAGACGTCGTTGATACTAACACACCAGTTGTAGTGGTCTGAACATGGCACCGACCTGTTTCAGGTAATCGCATTCCGTCTTGCAGTTCGTCAAAGCCGACTCGGCTTTATGCGCTACGCTGATATAAAACGCCATCGATCAATGTGCGATTGCCCTCCATCCGTGATACGGTTGGCCAGCATGCGTTTGGTGGTGCTGAAACGAACTACAATCGCGACTGCTATCGCAGACTGATCTCGTCTCGGGCGTCTCGCTGGCTGTGATAGCGTGGACCTCCCGTTCACTCAAGCTGCACTTCCTGTCGCCGTTCCCGCATTTTTCATATGCTAGCGTTTTCCATAACGGCCATACAACGGCTTCGAGTTCAGTGCCCCCACAACAGATATCCATTCGTGGCTATTCCCTCCATGGCATCAAATGCTATGTACTCTGGATGGACGCGTCAGCGCATGGCTCTCGTCTGGCGGCACCGCTTCCTTACGGATGGCAGTGATGGCTTCAGCGAATCCAATGCGAGCGTCATTGTGCACGATGCCAACGAGAAACGCTGAGGTCTGTAGTAGCAGCTGCAGCCGATCCCGTGCGTTCACAATTGCCAGTCTGATGCCCTGCCGTCGCAGTTCAGACTTCAAATGCTTCATCATCTGAATTGTAGTAGTGTCCCAGTCCATCATGGAGCCTGCGTCAATGACAACACCACGGACAGCTGCTCCATCCGTTTCATAACGCTGGCGCACTTCACGTTCCACCACGCGCTCAATGTACTCACAATTAGCAAAATATAGCGCGCCTTCCACTCGAATCGCTACGACGTCGGAAAATGGGAGTGCGGTGTCCGGATACAAGTCCAAATCCACAACTCGTTTCTCCTGAGTCGCTTCATCAGTCACCTCGCCCAGCGTCGAGATGATCGGCCGACGAGTTTTGTAAATCACAGCAACCAGCGAGCAAAAGATGGAGGACAGCAGACCAGGCAGCACGCCCAGTATACATGACAGCACAAACGATGCCAACCACACGTAAAACTCGTCCCGCTTCACACGATACAACCACTTCGCCTCTTTCAGCTCGATAAGTGAATAGCCTGCGACTATAATGATCGAAGCTAAGCTTGCTTTTGGCAGGTAGGCCAAAGCCGAAGTAGCAGTGTACAGCACTATCACCACGACTAGCACAGCAATCACACTCGCAAGCTGCGTGCGTGCGTTCTGCATGTTCACTGCGGTACGTGAAAGACCTCCAGTGGAGGGCATTCCCTGAAAAAAAGAGCCAACGAGATTGGAAAACCCCAGAGCCATGAGCTCTTGATTTGGCCGAATCCGGTAGCCGTCTTTGATAGCCAAACGTTTAGCCATTGCAACACTGCACATGTACGAGATGATGGCGATCGAAAGTGTGTCAATGACGAGATGGTACAAGCGGTCGGCGTCAATGATGTTCTCGCTAAACCCATACCAGGGCCTCTTCAACGACGGGTAACCACCTGGAATGTCTCCAGCGAGCGCCAGGGAACCTTCCGGGACCATGTAACCCACGATTCCACCAAGCAGACATACTGCGAACGCACCCAAGTCACACACCAGCCTCAGCGCGATTAGCACGGCCATTTTGGAGCGCAATAGCCGGACTGACGTCGACGACGCCGCTAACATGCGTCCTGTTAGTGCGGTACTGGAGTCTGCTATTTCAGATCCAGTATCAGACTTCGCAGGCGATACAAGTTCTTTCACACGTTGCTTCATCTCGGCCTCAGCTTTCGCATTACCGTCACCATCATTGTGACAAGCATCACTGTCGTGGGTTCGACGAGGTGTCTCCAATCTCAGCTGCATCGAATTTATCCGCGGCAGCGTTCGCGCTACGCCTGTTTCGTTTGACTCTGATTCGTGCGTATGGTAAACTGTGCCTGGGCGACTGCCAAAATCCAGAGGTCTCTCGACCGTAATGTAGTGTTCGTCCGAGAGGGAAAACCCTACGCCTTCGTCGTCCATGCGCGCATGACGAGTGCTTCGAGCCCTTGCCGCCATATCACGGCCTCTTCGCGACACAGCTCCCCACGGAGATGACAGCACGTCCTCTCGGCGTCGAATCGATCCTGTTGTGGACACTGTGGGCAACCCAGTCCACCTCGATTCGCCCAAAGAGCCTTTCACATCTCTCACACCCGAGTCGTATTCGCTATCGCTCCGTTTCAGTTGTCGATTCGTAGGTTTCGACGCATTGCCCGGATCCACATCATCCGCGCACCTTGTAGCTGTGTCTCTCCAACCATCCTCCGTAGCTCGACTAGCCTCGGTATCATCGCCACTCATGTCCCGCAACTCTCCACCTACCGACTTGGTGCTGATCGACAACTGAGTCAGTGCCCTCGACGTCTCGATTGCAAATTGGTTGTCCACTTGTTCCTCGACGCTGGCCAGCTTCGTCACAATCCTCCGTTTCAGCTCGTGCATTCCCACAAGCACTAGGATCGAAAACGTGCCCAGTGCAAAGCTCAGCACGTTCAGATGCGGGAACTTCTGACACAGATCCAGCACCGTGAGCACAGGGAGGTCCCTGCTTTTAATGTCCAGTCCGAGCCAGCTCGCCACCTGCGACAACATAATGAGCACACCGCCGGCAGAGAGGAAGCCGCCCATGACCGGCCGCGAGAAAAAGTCGGCAATCACGCCGAGCCGAAACACGCCCATGAACAGCAGCACGACGCCACTCAGGAAGCTCAGCAAAATGCCCGTCGCAATGCGCTCTTCTTCGCTCTCGACCTTCTTGATCGCCGAGCCCACTAATAGACTCACTTCGGCGCCATTGGCCACGGACAGCACGCGCGAGGTACCAAAGAGCGGGTAGACCATCGGCACGACAGCGGCTGTGTAGAGACCGTAAATAGGGGGGACGCCCATGATCGCACTTAGTGAGACCTCTTGGGGCACGAGCATGAGCCCGACGGTAACCCCCGAGACCACGTCGAATTGCAAATCTTCCCGCACGTCGTAGGCGGGTAACCACTCCAAAATGGGTACATGCTGCTTGACAAACAAGAGGACCCGCTGACGCGTGACGCGCCGCCGAGCCGCGTGGGCCGACGTCCACAGCGACGACAGCAGCGCCGTCACACTACTGAGCGAGTGCCCGTTGCTGCTACAAGGAGGAGGAGGAGGAGGAGGAGGAGAGGACGTCGCCATGGACAGCGTCCTGTGGCTTGGAGCGCGTGTCGCGAAGAGGCTGTTGAGCCTCGTCGACGTCGGAAGAAGAGATGGTCGTTGTGACGGGGGACTCTCTACGTAGCGATCGGTCAATTCCTTTGTGGAATATAGTCGGCCAGTAGGTCCTCGAGAGCACAGAACCGTCGAGTGCTTGGTTTTTGCCGGTATACCGAATGAGTATCGATATCGTCTCATCAGAAGACAGCGCGTGGTTTTGTGATCACTGGGCCACCGGATCAGATGGGATAATTGCTACGTCCGCACCATGTACTGATTGAATCTCGAACTTATATAGAGAAAAAAGAAGGCCGAATGCTTTATGATCCATCAAAAGACAATAAACATATAGGACCTTTGGACAATGTTTCCGCATGACCTATATTGCTTCTCTACATTTAGGTCTTCGTTAAAGCCCACTGGAATGAACGCCACGTCAGATAAGCACACTCAGGAAATTACTGCTTGCTGCGGGTAGCATCGACGACCACATTGAAACGACAAGTGCTCGATCATCCCGAGAACAAGAATCATTGACCAAGGCAAAGGCCAAATAACGAGCCAGGATGTTGAAGCATCAACGATTAAGCAGTTCGTACCTTGTATCGTCCTATGCCGCACAGGACTCCTATTTCTGAGGCGCGAGGCTAAACAGTTGGCTTCCCTCGTCTTTCTGTGAGATTTCTGCGCGTGTCTGGATCTTTTCCTTGCTATTACTTCATTCTTTATTGATGTGTTTTGCGTGCATAAACGCAGATGGCTCTTGGCTTGTCGATGCTTTTGGTCTCTCACGCCTAAATTCCACGGGACGTCCTTTTGTCCTGACACCAGATGGCCCATCAATCGTTGGACTATTCCAATCTCTTCTACACGAACCTGTCCAACGGCAGAGACCCTTGACGCTGTCAAAAGTTCATCGAATGCTTTGACCGGGATCACAAGTGTTATAAGGTACGTCTGGAACGGATGAAAACACGCTCGCCACATCGAAATCGAAACATCTTTGTGAGACGTCAAGTCAAGTATATGAAGTCCAGTAATGGTAACTACAAGCGAGATGTTGAAAAAAACGGCTTGATGTTGATGGTGCAGATGGACTTTTTGGCAATCAAAAACGAACCTAGGCTGCGTTTATAATACATGTAGCTGAGAATGTTGTAGCTTGACATGTGGCGTTGTAGTAGTGTGCAAATCGTAGACGAAAGCGCATGAGCGTACACGCCCGCACATTCATTTCGATTGTCCATGTAAGAGTGACGAATTTTGACATGGACAATGTTATGAAAATGTGTCGAGTAAGAATTAGATAGGCCAGATGGTTTTTGACTCATACAAAGGACATGACCGCTGCACATAATTTGAAAAACAGCACAAAAATAAATCATTCAGGGCCGTGTCACAGTAAATCAGCAGTAAACGCTCTCCATCCCCGCTTAGCTACTCGTTCAATCAGACGCAGCGCAATTATGATCTGTGCTTCTCTTCTCATTTTCTTGACGGCTGCTGTCTCTGCATCTGGGTATTGATTTAACTTTGGTCATGAAAACGGCTGCTGCAGTTTGGCTCACCCGATCTATAGGATGAACGAAATGGGCGAACCGGTGTCCTGCTCTTAGCCGAAAATGGTTCTGGCTGCGGTGATATTGGACGTGAGGTTTGTGATGCATGATGAGGATGGTGTAGTCTGACGATGAACTGATTCTTGCGCTGTGTATGTGATACCGGTAGACGATGGTGCGCGCTGACTCGTATAAATTTAACAATTGTTTATCTTGGATACATTATTGATCGAAGAATAATTTGAGTCGTCTTGAAGTCGTTGTGACCGCCTTCTTGTCACTGACTGAAATTGGTGTTGATTTCTGCTCGTTCTCCACCGGGCGTGCTTTGACATCGCTTACATTTACGTGATCGACAACGTTTGCGATCGTAAGTACATCTATGTGTTGAGATAACGTAGAATACCCATACTTTTGCTTAACAGGATATTGTAACGGGGCAATGTTGACTACGCACTGGTTGACCAGTACGGAGTATACTTCCACTGACGACAGTGGTCGACAGTGCCCTGCTAGGTTTTTTAGGGAAAACACAGAGGAAGTAAAGGAGACTAAGTATTCAGACTAGTCTCTGGTAAAAGTAATACTGTATTAATATAATTAAGTCCTATAACTCCTTGTATCTCGTTGTCCTGACTTAATTATACTAATATGACTATATGTATGATGACGTCTACTCACCACCCATTGCGCGCGTCTAGCAGCGATTGGTGGGTTGATATCATCACGATATTAACCAATGAGTAGACCATTCGGTCATCCCAACAATATCACCATGTCTTGTGATATTGTTAAAATAATATTCGGCGTAATATTCTATATTGTCAGATTGTTTTAAATGACAATCTCATGTAACGGTCTACCCCCTTACATCACCCGTCCTTTATCTGATAGTCACCGTGTGACTATCGAAAACTTGGTGGCCACCCGTTGGAAACCAGTGGGACAGGGAGCACTTGCTTGGTCAGACCCATTCACTCCTGACCTTGCCTCGCATAGTTAACATGTCTATGCGAGGTGGTTCGAAGACCACACAGCCTGCTGCTGTGCCAGCCTCTGTGGCAGACGCTTCGTCGTATGCTGCTTGTTCTCCGTCTGCAGCGGAAGGTGCTGCAGACGCACGCGGTATCGCACCACGTGCACATAATGACCTTGTCAATGAGGTCATCAATTCTGGCGAGTCAGACGTGCCTGACTCGCGCAACGTTCTAGAGGCATCCCGATCACCGGCGGTGCCTCATCATTCGTCAATTGCACTGTCAAACGAGCGGACTCGTGAAATGCAACACAGTCTGTTCGGCAGAGATGATGAACTATATGGTGAGGACTACTATGCCTCACCAGTATCAACTCGTGCTTCCCCGCAAGAGCGTGATTACGATGGCGAGAGCCGTCTTCATTCTGAAAGCCGTGGTACCGAACCAGGTACCATATTGAAGCCTGATGAGCTGAAGCCGTGGCGCTTGCCCGAGCAGCTCATCAATAGCTTGTCTCACGACACAAGCCAACACCATCGAATACTATGATTCGATGCGAGCGAGCTCCATGGCTTAAGTTCCAGCGCGAGTAACTATCGCGATAAAAATACTTTTTTCTCGATGCCTTCCTTGGGCATCGATGGTACAATGGTAACCAAAAGCGTGACAAGAACTCGCTTTTGGCAGCGTGGAACGCCTTCGTCCAAAATATCAAGAATTTTGGACGAGAAGGATGGCTCCAAAAACTTGAAGCAGTACGCATCAAGTTTGAAAAGCGAACGCCAACCGGTGCTAGGTACCGGTTGCACTGTTTGTCGAGTGAGGCCAGCATTCCATGCCTCACTTGGGGAGATTCTTGTGCGAGTTGTGTTGACAACTCGCAGCGTGCACATAGGGACGTGTATTCCCTTAGTTCGCCCTGGGGAAGGGCACACATCTCGGCTGAGATGCGGGACGCGATTGCAAACTTGCAATCCGTCTACAAACGCCAAAAGAGTGTATTTATCGATGGGTTTCTCGGACCAATCGGATGAGTCTCGTCATATTGGTGAACGAGACCTTCAACGTCCATCATTAGCTGGAAGCGGGGCTCCCAGCTGTTTCACGAGGGTGGATACCCCCGCCATTGGACGAGGTAACTCGTCCTTGATCCTGAATCGTCACGATGGTTCAAGATACGCTCCACTAGAAAGCGTTGACCACTGTGTGAGTCCGCCAAAGGATGTGGCGGAGGAGGAAAGACCTCCTCCAGATCGTTCTGCTCACCATCTCTATCCTCACGAGATGGATCGCGCAATCGTTGAATTGCGCGATAATTTAGAGCACGAGAGGGACAGACGTTACGCTCTGACTGACTCTTTTCGGAAGTACCGCAAAGATTACGAGGCGAACCGTACGAAGGACCGCGCTGAGTATGAGGTCGCACAGCTGCAGGCCGAGCGCGACATCCTCTCCTTCTTTGGCGAGCTGGCGACAGCTCACGGAGAGATCTCTCAGTTGCGTTCTGAGGTCTCTTATTTACGCGACCAGACGGACCGTCTGGAGCGCGAACGCAAGAACTTGATGGATTTTTTTGAACGTGGGGGCTATCTTCATCGGAAGAAGAAGGCTCGTACTGACAGTACGGCCTGAGTCGCCCCACGAAAAATGTAGGATGTGTGCGCATCTTACGTGGCAATTCGATCGTGTATGCATTGCCCTTGCGGTAAAACACACGAAAGGGACCAATGTATTTCGGCAGTAGTAAACTACTGCCGACATTAGTGACTACATGTCCAGGTAATTTTACCGTAGACAGTAGTACTAGGTCGTTAACCTTAAATGAAAGAACGTTTGCTCTTCCATTCTTGTCTGCGTTCCGTTTCTGGCCGTCCACCGCATTTGCGATGGAGTCCTAAACAAAACGGACTACCGCCTCTCGAGTCAGCAGGAAGTTCTCTGCTGACTCGTTCTTTTAACTTTCAGTGCGCTTCGTGCGCACTGCTAGTAGATTCTTCGCTTCTTCAGCGAGGTTGTCCACTTCCTCGCTGGAATTATCGTTGACTATACTGAATATCCCAGCATCGTCATCATTGTCTAAAGTAGTAGCAGCGTCATTGCTACTGCTAAGATCAACTTCTTCGATGTCGACATTATCGACATCGACATCAAACGTATCGGCGTGAGCGGTGATACGTGATGAGCAAGAGCCAATACGGTATTTGCATGAGCGAGTCCCTCCCCCCTTAACTCAGAGTCACTCTGTATGAGGACGGGAATACGTGGGTGGCGTAAGCCATTCACGTAGAACGGTGTATTCGTCGTAAACGTATACACGGAGTTGTTGATGGCAAATGCAATCGTCGGCAAAAACTCACTCCAACTCGAGAACGAGTGGACGTATCCACGAAGAATTTCTTTGAGGACACGGTTCGCCCGTTCTGTCTCAACATCTGTTTCAGGATGG